GGCATGTCATCCTGGCCTTCCCAGGCTCATGCCGCCTTCTTCCCTCTTTCCCTTTGCAATGGACAGACGGGAGCGTGGAGGCTTGCTTAACTCCTACGTGGGTGCTCATCCAAGAGGAAAACCCAGGGAGCTGTGCTGACCTGCAGGCCAAGGACAAAGGCGAGAAGGAGAGCACCTGCCCTGCTGGGTCCGCCAAGCCCTCAAGAGCAGCGGTTCCCAGGGCTGCATTTGCGCAGGGCTTAGCAGGCGGGAGCTGGGCTGGAGGCTGCGTGCACTGCAGCGCCGGGTGGGATGTGCTTTAGGGACTTCAGCTGGGGAGTGGGATGCCTCTGCTCCTGACGCATGGGGGTAGAAACGTGGGGCAGTGTGGACACGCTGGTCCTGCTAGGGATGTAGAGGCTGTGGTGCGGGGCAGGGAGCAGGCTTCTCTGGGGATGGGGGAAGCAGGGGGACTGCCGTTCTTCCTTCCCACCTTCCTGCTGCTCATAGAGAAGGGGATGGAGTCCAGTATTGCTGAATAAGAGCCAAAAATGCCTTTTGGCAAGTCTTTCCATGCTGTCCTTGCTGTTTTGAGGAAGTCATGTGCAGAGTGCAGGAGGGGAAGGCTCTGGGGCTTGCATGGGACCTGGTTTGATGTCCCGCTCTTACTGCCTCCTTGGCCCCGTTGCGTGCTGTGGTGGGAAGCCGTGCTCATGGTCAGGAAATGGCTTGGACACCTCGGGCTGGTTCCCACCGCCCCAGGCCTCACAACAGCTTCCCACCAACTCCCTGCGCCTTGGTTCTCTTGATGCGCAGGGACTTGTGCTGATGTTAGCGTCTCAGCCCAGGCGGAGGCAAGCTCACCCTGTCCTACAGCCTGCGAGGGGAAGGAGGGACCAGGAAAGGCATCTTTAACCACTTCCCGGTACAGCACAGCCTGTGGGGTCACAGGGGCTCTCTTACCTGCGGGTGGCAGCATAGGTGTAAGGAGACCCCCAGGGTCCTTCCCCAGAGGCAGGCAATGGGATCGGAACAGAAAGCTTTGTAAAACCATCTCTGCCTTGGGTGGAGGCAGGGCATCAGGTGTGTATTTGGGAAGGGGGCAGTTGTTGCTGAAGAAGTCCCCTTCTCCCTCCCGTGCTGCCAGGGGGGATTTCCTTTCGTAATTGGGAAGTACGCTGCTGCGCCGCAAGACTGTGCTTGCTGCGAGTGCCGCCTTTCTTCCCCACCTGTGCTTTGCTTGAAACACTGCACCCAACATCAGCTGCCTCCAGGACCAGCCCTGCACCTTGCAGCGTGGGACACGTTGCAGTGTGCCCTGCCTGATTGAAGGTGGGGACAGAGGGTCCCCTGGAGCAGCCGTCTGAGACCAAGGTGCAAACTGAGCATGAGGACAGGTATTGCAAGGCCCACAGGTTGTGCTGTGCCTGGCAAGACCAGCCAGCCTCCTGCTCAGCCGATAGGCTCCTGGGAAAGGTCTTTGGATGAAGGATACTAGGTAGGCACTGTTCATCAAGCCTGCAGAGATGGTCACCAAGCTTTTTCTTAGTTGCCTAATTTGTGTTGTAACCCCAGAAGGAGCTGGACACCTTGGTGGGCCTGACCTCAAGTGATGTGATGGCAGGTCGCCTCTAACCTGCTGCCAGGTGTGCCTGCATCTGGGGGAGCTGGAAGGGCAGAAGTGCTCCAGACATCCCTGCAAGTTTTCTCAGCCTTCCCACACACCTGAAGCACCTCTGTCTCCATGGGGAGCCCCTTCTTGTGCTTACCAGCCGGGTGGGAGGTTGCATACCTAGGGATGGTACTGACTGCTGCTGTGCCACCTGGCTGGGCTGATGAAAAGGCAGTGTAAGCCTTGGGCATATATCACAGCTTTTTCATGACTGGGTGTGCTGGCTGGGTTACTGGAGAGGCTAAGAAGGTTTATCTCCAGTCCCTTCCAGTCCATCCTCTAGGCTTCAGAAAAAAAAGTACAACTCTGTCTCTGTGATATGTGGCTTAAATTACCCATAGGCTTGCCAAGTTTGTCTTGAATGCGTAATGGTTTGTATAAATAATGATTATGATAGAATCATGGGCAATGTGAGCATATGAGCCTCGTTTCTTTTAGAAAGACAACCAGAAAACGGGGCTATAAAACATGCAGGAATGAGGTAAACAGTTTGGTCTCTGCAGAGGAAAATCATACTTCCCTGATCTGTTGCAAGTCTTTCAGTACTTTGGTGAAATAGTGGGTAATATTCGGCCAGCTTGTGTAACTTTCTTGGATGTTCAGAAAACCTCTGAAATTCCTCACAAAAGACTGTTAAGAAAACTGTCCACTGGAGGAGATGTAGAGTCCTGGGTCAAAAACTGGCTGAGGGTCCACAAACAAAGCCTAGGTGTGAATGAGGAATTTCGGTGGGACAAGAGCAGAGGGATGAGGTCCTTCGCTATTACTGACCCAGAAAAGGTAATGTGCAGCAAGGTACCCAAAATCTGCTGATACCCTGGAGTCATTCAGATTTGTCAAGATGAAGCGACTCCAAAGTGACACCGTGTGAAGCAAAGTGGTGTGAGGCGATGAGAAAGTGGGTACTGAGAAGCATGCAGCCGGGTGTATTGAAAGGAATGATTTGTTCTGGGACATGGCTGGCTTCTAAATTACCGTGGCTACTCGGGGCAGCAGCACTGCGGGCCGGTTACAGAGATGCTTTTCCTCAATACGCAAAGATGCCATCAGAGAAGTAAATCATGCTCAGCCGCACGTGGAGTAGCGTAAGGAGAGATGCTGAGAGCATCAGGATGCTGTTCTGGCAGTCAAGGTCATTTCCCTACCCATTGTATGTCGTTCTGGTCACCTTTCCATAGGGTCAAAAGAGAGGATATATTGGGGATGTGCACTGAGAGTGGTTAGAGCTGGAAGACACCTCGTGTCACGGGAAGGAGAGGGCACTTAATAGTAGTGAGCTGCTTAGGTCTCGAAAAAGCAAAGGCTTTTATTCTTTGCCTTTTCTCACTATGCAAGGAGAACTGAAGGCTGTGGAGTTGCAGTGGGGTCATAGTCTTTTACTCAACATCTGGAACTCATTGGTGCAAGATACCATTTACAACCTAAAAGTTTACAAGATTCCCCAAAAGAGGAATGAGAGGTATTTCTCTTTGCAATGAGTCTATCTAGGCTGGCACTTCAGAGGTAAAAACAGAGGGGTATAACCTTTCATGCTCCAAAGCGTGTGACTTTCCTTTAGTGACTCTCATCCCATCGTTTCTTCCCATCCCTCCCCTGGAGCTTCCGAGTCTCTCGTTAATTCAGCTAGGGTGAATTATCCTGCCTGGCGCCCCAGTTGGTTCCCAACTGTGATCTTGTGGCTTGGCTTTCTTCTCCTGCTTTTCTACTCCCTTTTTCTGCTCCCGGCAGCCCTGCTCCTGCTCTGTACCTGTGAATATCTTTTAACAGCCTGCTTGGTGGCTTTTCCAATTTGGCTGACCCCCCTCAATGCTTGTACCCAGCTGGGCTTTTGCTGCTCACGGTGCCCTTTGTGGTCGGTGCTTCAGCTGGTTTGCAGCTGTGCATCCTTACTAGCTGAGCTGGTATGGATCGCTTTGAAGCAGAGCTCTCTAGGACACCGCAGCGAATGGTTTGGTGGTCATTATCCAGCCAGCATTGTGCTGTGATGCTGATAAATCTCTGCAGCTAGGCGGGAGATTGCCAGGATATACCCGTGAGCTGGAGGGAAGGGCCCTGCGCCCTCTGCTAATGTCACCATCCAGCGCGGAGCTAGAAGGGCACGGCTGGTGGCAGAGGGCAACTCAGGGACAAGAGGCTGAAACCAGCACAGGGCAGCAGTGGTGGCTTTCTTGCGCTTTGGGCGAGTGACAGCTCTTTTGCCCAGCCCACCAGGATGGCATTTCTGGGTTTGGGTAAGCAGCCCCTGAGCATTGCCCAGAAGTGATGCTGTGCCAGCCAGCCTTTCTGCATGGTACATGGTGGTAGTGAAGGATTTGGGGTGGTTGGTGGGTGCTGGATAAGAGGGGTGGTTCAGGGATCGGCAGCCTGGGTAGATCTGCCCGTTTGTTACCGCTGCTTCCTTCTGCAGCTGATGGGGTTTTCTCTCCCCTGTTCCACAAGGCAGTTGTGTTTCTGCTGTGGATTTGTCATTTCTAGACCATGCCGGTGATGCTCAATTTGCATTTATCCATTGCTAGCATGGTCTTCTCTGTGTTTCCCATGGAGCTGCTCTGCACAGGAGGATCATCTCCCCATGTCCAAGCAGTGATGCTGCAGTGATGCTGACCCGAGCCCAGCTGTGGGTCTTGTTGCAATTTGGGGAGGGCACTGAAATAAATGAAATATTTGACCAGCTAAATAGTAGAGCCTAAGCCTCCTCTCTGCCCTCTGTGTGGTTGCATCTAAATGTATCCAAGTCAGAGGAAGGAAAGAAAACAAGCAGGGGATGTAACCAGCCCCTGATGGGTGCCCTGGGACCTGGGGGCTGAGGCCTGCAGTGAGTGGAGGGTAGTGATTCAGCCTGATAAAGCTAATGGCACTCAGCCAGGCAAAGGAAACTGTGGGATCATGATGCAGCAACTGTCCTGTAGCAGTTTGTTTCCATCATCCAGACGTGACTTCATGTCCCCACCACCCCACCCTTTCATTCTTTCCTGTACCTAAACGTTCTCCCTGGTGAGAAGGGGCTGACACACAGTGTCCTCAAGAAGAGGAGTAGTCATGAGAAAGAGGTGCACCCAAATGGCGTGAGAGCCAGGGAACAAGGGAGGGAGCTCTGGGACTGTGTGTGGTGGGACCACAGCTGCTGAAGCACCCAGGCTCTTCCGGCACCCCCTAAACTCAGCAGGCTTCTCCAGATGACCTTGTCCCTGGACACTGGTTCCCAGGGAAATCCTGTAGCGCAGAGGAGCCTGAGATAGCAGGCAAGGTTGGCCCCTAACTCCAGCAGGGCTACACTGTCGTCCAGCTGGTGTGCGTCTAACCAGGCCTTTCTTCTCCTTTCCCCAGGGAAGACGATGAAGCTGTAGAGATGCTTCCCTACGTGATCGCCACCCTGGGCTCAGCAGGGGCCACCTGCAAAGCCTCCACATGCAACAACAGTACCAAGGACTACTGCTACAGTGCCCGCATCCGCAGCACTGTGCTGCAGGGGCTGCCCTTTGGTGGGGTGCCCACCGTCCTAGCCCTTGACTTTATGTGCTTTCTCGTAAGTCTACCTACTTTTGCTTCAGCACCTTCTCCCCTAATTAGCCATGAAGGGAGGACTGTGGTCGGGTGGTTAGAGTTGAGGGCCTCAAGTGCCATCCTGGACTTTGCTGCTGGCTGACTTTATGGCCCTGATTGTGTGCCTTAGGCACTGTGGGCTTAGCCACTAAGGACATGGGTCAGGTTAGGTCAGTCCTGCATCCCAAAACTCCTGCTTATGATGCCAAGTCCCTGCAGCTTTACCCACCCAAAGGCTTTGCGTGTTCCTCCTTAAGAACTGCAGGACCACAGATGCTGTAGCCGTAATCTCGCCTCCTTGGGTCCTGAGGGCCTTTTGATCCTGTGGCTAACTTAGCTACTGTGTGTTGCATCCTGGACCTCTGCATCCCACAGCCATCCAGATAATCTGATTTTAACAGCCCTGGGGAACTTGTGCTCTCCCATGGCCTCGGTGTACTGTTAGCTGAGTGGTCCTGTCCCCTCCTACCCTCCCTGTTCCTGTGGCTCTGCATGCAGAGGACAAGGATGGAGTTGGACAATGCCTCATCTCACAGCTCCTCCTTTGCTCTCTTCCAGGCACTGTTGTTTGTCTTTTCAATTTTGCGTAAAGTTGCTTGGGATTATGGACGCCTGGCCCTGGTGACTGATGCTGACAGGTAAGCGTGGGAGAAGGACAGGAAAACAAGGCACGAGTGGTACCCTTCTTTGCTGCGGGGCAGAAGGGATAAATCCCCTTGCGTGTGCTGGAGGCAGCTGGGGAGGAGAGGCAAGCGTGCCAGTTGTATCCCCTGAGCTCCAGGAACAGGAAAAATCCCCGCTTACAGGCTTTTTTGTTACAGCATCCTTTTCCCAACACAGGGAGTCGTCCCCGCCGGCTCCGTATCACTTACAGTCCCTACAGTGACAGAGGTGTGCAGGGGCCCTTACAGAGGAACAGCAGATGCAGGGGAGGGAGGAGAGAGGAAAAGAGGTCACAGGAAGGGTGAGGCCTGCCACAGTGAAGGCTTTGTGAAGCCTCTGAAGGTGTTTTTGTGGCTCTGCTGGATGCAGTTCTCTTTAAGAGCACTTGAAAGCAGTAGGCTGCATTTCCAGGTGTGGTACTGCTGTGCTAATGCAAGTTTAGCTCGCATCCCAAGTGCTGATGAGTCGGTTTGGGTATGGATCCTTCCTGCCCAATACGTTCGTTGGCTACAGTGTCTGCCAGCAAAAGCTGGGGCCCACTGGGGCTGGGAGCTCCACAGCTGAGTGAGATGCTATTCTCATTTTTGCTGTCAGCAGCAGGAAAGACAATGATTATTTTCTTCCAGTGCAGAACGAGGAACTCTCTTTGATTAAGCTAGAGGGGTTGTGCAGGTAGTCCGCCTCTCTCCAGGGGTGGTTTGCTGTGCCCATGGTGCTTTGTCACGTGCTGGAGGCAAAGTGTGGCTTCTTGAAGGCTGGCTGTGATAGGTGGTTCTTCCCTTTGATCAGCTCCACGAGCTCATCGTGCCCAAAAGGCTCACATGGGGCTGAGCTCCAGCCTCTTTGGTTCCTTTGGCAATACAGGTTCAAGCAAGCTGCTCTTGAGCACTCCCTGCACAACAGTGGAAAGAGTAAGAGTTGTTTTCTTCCAGCACCGAACCAGGAACTCTCCTGGTTTGGGTAAGTGGTCCTGGATAGCGTTAGATAAGCAGCTGTGTCCCTGGGGCTCCTCTGCACCTCCTTTCCTGGCCTGGCTGGGGAAATCAGCAATGCAGGGGCATTGGGGGAAAGTGAGGAGAAGGGAATAGCCGTATGAGACCTCACTGGGGAGAGGGCAGCAGCTCCTCAGGGTTAAGCTATCTGGACCCAGGCGCTGGCTGGTAGCCACAGGGGCTGCACAGCTCTGGCCTTCAGTGGGGAGAGAGGGCTGGCCCTTCTCGGAGGCGATGCTTGAGCACCTTGGGTGCAAGGGAGTGGAGCAGTGGCTGTAGGCAGAAAGGTAGAGGGGTGCCAACTGTTTGGTGAGGGAGAGCTGGTAAGTGCAGGGAGACGGTGCTGTGGTAAGGGCTGTGGATCACCAGGACCGGGATCCCAGGGAGGAGCCCCTGCTGCTTGGCCCATCCGCAGGGTGGGGTGAGCATTTTGGGAGAGCAGGATGCAAGTGTGTTGGCTGCCTGGGTGGGGAGGAGAGGCATGGAAGGGGAGCTCAGATGGCAGCTGGGCAGCCCCAGCAGGCTGTCCTGCCTGGCCCCGTCCCTCAGGAGCTCCCTGGGACGCCCACAGTGTGGAGACAGGCCACCTTCCCAGTGAAGCCAGCTTCCCTTTAGCTGGCAGCAAAGCACTCGGCCCCTGGGCCAGCAGGGGCTCCAGGTTGTTGTGGCTTGGGGCGGTGCTGGGCTCTGGAAGGAAGGTCTTCTCCAGCCTGACCATCAGCAAGTTTCTCTTCTTCAGGACGGTGTGGAGCCATGTTGGGTGTGTAGCTCCCTGCGACGGAGGGGACCCAGCACCTGCTCCCATGATTGTAACCTCTCCCTTTCTGTTTCTGTGCCCCCAGGCGCCGACGCTGGCAGACAGAGCGAGAGGAGCGGGAATAGTATGTTGTTTTTTCAGGGTCTTGTTTCTTCTCTCTTCTTACTCGCACTCACTCTCGTTCTCCTTTTCTCTTGCAGTTTTCTGTCTTGCTTCTAAACTAATCTAAGTGGCTGGGAGTTCAGGCTTGGATTTGTGCCTCTCAGTGGATTCATGCTCTTCTTTTTCCCCTCCCCTTTGTGTCAGCCACTACCGCAACTGGATGCACTCTGGTTTTCCCCTAGTAGCCCTTAAATGCTCCCTGAGGGCAGCAGTGCTGAGGAGCTCCCAGTCCCAGCCAAGGTGGAGGGTACCATGTCACATACCCTGCTGTACCTGCCCGTGTCCAGCTATCCCACCTTATGATGGAGAAGATAAACCCAGTTGCCTGAGCCCACACCACACTTGGGTCACCCAGGCGCAGGGGAGCCTCCTTTGCCTGGTCCCTCTTGTGCCAGGGTGCCACGAGTGCTGCTCCCATGATAGCTGCAAGGGCAGGCAGGTGCCCAGAGAGGATCTTGCAGGCAGTTGCAAGACTTCTCTCTTTTTCCTTCACCCCATGAGGCTGCCAGGACGAGGGCAAGTGTTGGCCCTTGTCCCTTGCCACCTACCCCCAGCTGGCAGCATGCCTAGCAAGGCAGCACCTTTATCCCTTCTCTCTCCCCCTGCAGAAGCAAACTTCCTGCCTCAGCGCTGAGAGCATCCTCCAGCACCTTGGCCTAGCGTTGCCCATTAAGCACTGCCATGGACCCTCCCTCCCTGCTCTTTCATCTTTCTTGCTGTTTTTATACCTAAGAAAAGAGCATCCCCCGTGCCTTGCTGACTGGCTGGGTGGTGCATGCTGCAGAGGGTACAATCAGCCAGCAGGACAGAGCCTGCAATGGTCGCTCCAACCAGGCTGATGCATGTCTGAGGCTGGGGGAGCAAGCTGCAGCCTCACTTCTCATACTCCACTGGCAAAGCAGCTACCTGCCACTGCTACTGCCTTGAGAGGGTACAGGAATGCTCCTGTTTTTGTAGTTGCTCCTTGCCCCCAAAGGAGCAGAGCAATCGGAGTTGTGGAAAACAGAGGTGGTGGTAGCTGTGGTACATGGCACAGAGGGGACCCCTCACTTATGCTTGAGTGCTTCACTAGTGGTTGGCCCTGCTTCGAGTGTGTCTGGCAACTTTTCACTGCTAACACCTTGCAGGGGGAGTAAGGCAGAGGTAGCAGAGCTGTCATGTTCTGAGGCTTCTCGGGGATGCCACCTCAGTTATCCTCACAAGTGCTCATTTCTCTCCAGGGGGCCGCTTCTTCCTGCTCCCATTCTTCATCTGGGCTTGCTGGAGCTTTCTGCTGACACCCCCACCCCCCCCACCCCCAACCTACTGGCTGTCCCTGGGGTGGTGTTGGTAGCCAGAAACTTCCAAAAGCCTGTGGAGCTGAGCAAGGAAACCTTGTCCTGGCTGTGCTCCTCCAAGGCTGGGGGCAACTTCCCATCCCAGGCATTCTCTGTGCTGGGGCGCAGTGGCATGTGGTGGGTTAGAGACATGTATGCCGCCTGGCGCTCCCAGCCCTTGAATGCACAGCATCACTCTTGGTGCAGGAGGACATCCTCTTCAGATGTGTCCCTTTGCCTGAGAACCGGCGAGTACCCTTGTCCTGCCCCTTGCCAGGGCTTGTGGTAGCCATTGGCACTCTTAGTCGGTGACTCAGTCTGCACTGGGAGAGCGTGACAACCCACCTGCACCTCCGTGTGTAAAGGCAGTGATCACAGAGCCCTGTGGGGCTTGCCACTCACGCAGCTACCTCCTGCCTTGCACCACAGCAAGCCCCTTCCATAGCATGCTTGGCCTCCCCTCCTGGAGCCTGCGATTCCCTTGGCCTGAGGCTAGCCATGCCTCGGACACCGTCCTTCTCCCTCCCTGGCAGGGCCAGCACCCAATCTGGGGCAGTGGGCAGGGTCCCACCTTAATCTTCTTGCAGTTTAGGGCAACCTTGCCTCTGCTTACTTGCTTTGTTAGTGCTTTGCTTTAAAAAGCCACCAGGTAGGTGCAGGTACCATTGGAGCTCCCTCTTCAGCTTCCTGTCTTTGACAAGGTTTGGCCCCCTCTGTCTTCTCAGCATTGCCGGTCATCCTGCTGAATGGAGCTGAGTTTGCCTGGTCATCTCATACCTTGGCACTCTTCTCAGTTTTTCCCTCAAGTGCTGCTTCTGCTCTGCCCTCTGCCAGTACCAAGGAGCCAAAAGCACGCTGTGTCATCGTGCTGGGCTCTCCTCGGGGCTGCAGAGAGCAGAAGCTCACCCTTGCTCCCTGCACCCAGCTGGAAGGCCTCTGGGATTTTAAAGAGCTGAAGGTCCAAGAGCTTGGGTGAAGCTCGCTCTGTCACTCCAGCAGAGCAGGGCGTTAGGCTGTGCAGTCGCAAGGCTGCGCACCACTGTCTAATCTGCACTCCTGTAGTCTCATGACCTTCAGCTAATCTCCTTTCTCCTCTCTCCGTTACTTCCAGCTAGGGACTTGAGCAGGTGCTGCTCTGCTCTGAGGGGGGCCACGTGACACATCCTCTTTCCTTTGGCAGGGTCACGAGGGTCTTTGCTTGTTCTCCTTCCCATAGTGTCATCCACCTCGTCCCTAGCACTTGTCTCTCAGCTGCTTCTTCTCTGGGTTCTTGTCCATCTGATCCTCCTTGAGCCTGTACTGGTTACAGGGAGACCATGTTTTCATCTATTTTTTTCCCCTTTGCTTCTAGCCTTCAGATCAGCCATATCTCTTCTTGCACCTCCAAGGTCCCAGCCCGCTGTTGTCATCTTGCAAGTGCTATTAATTTAGGTCTCTGGACCATTTTCTTGTCTCCTTTGCTAGCTGCCCTCCACCTCCATTCGTAGTGGGTGCTATTCTCTGCCTTGGATGCTTCTGCTGCGAGTTCTTCATCTAGGTCCCTGCCTGCGTCTGGAGTAAAGCGGTCTGGGATATTCACCTCTCTTGTTTTCCTGTCCTTTAGCCTGCAGTCATTCACTTCTAGCTGCTTGCCCTGCTCCTGCTGGAGGGATTTCCAGGCAGGAAGCCCAGCTGAGGCTGTGGAGCAGGTTGGGCTGAGCCTGGCTCCAGGCAGCACAGCTGCTGGGGCTCAGCTGCATTCCTTCTTCCCCTGGGTTTCCCTGCACTAAAGCACTAAGGGCAGAGAGGACTGGTGTAGCGCGAATACAGCCCACCAGACTCCCAGCCTTCCTCTTCCCTAGGGCGAGTGAGGCCCACCAGGACCTCAGGACAGGAGCTGCTGCCAGTGCCTCTCCGGAGCGCCGGGGCTGCCGCCTCGTGGCCGCACTGGAGCCAGAGGGGATGCAGCACCCTCTGGCTCCTACCTCCTCTCCTCTGCTAAACCCTGCACTGAACAGACCTCATTTCTCCGTGGCAGCTGCTGCCAGCCCCTCCTTGTGGGGGCTGCTGCGTAATGCGGGTGCCTCTCAGAAGGTGCTGAGCGAGTAGCATCTGTGGTCGAGCCTGTGATGGCTGCCGGGCTCAGGGTGCCGTCTGAGGTCTTTGCTTACTGCTACCCTCTGCTCTCTGATCTCACCTCTCTCCATCTCACCTGGGGCAAACTGACCTGAATTAACCTCTGATATTCTGTGTGCTCTTGGTTCCTGGCCAGCTGCCTCCTCACATCTTCTAACTTTCTCCCTCGCCTCCCACTTGTCATTTTAGCGTAGCCTCTGCCCTGCACTCTGACAACCACGACCGCTACGAGCGCCTCACCTCCGTCTCCAGCTCTGTGGACTTCGACCAGAGAGACAACGTGAGTAGCAGCAAGAGTCAAACACCTTGCCTTTGAGTGGCCAGGAGCCCACAGCTTGTCTGAACCAAGGGCTCTTCAGAAGCAACACTGTTTGCCCATCCCCGGGCCTTAGGTCTCATGCCTTGTAGTGTGTGAGTGTGGTATAGAGCTCAAGGAGGCATAACTACAAGGCTTCTAGACATGTGCTTAAATAAGTAGGCTGTACATCCCTGTGGCTTAATGGACATCTGTCCAACATATCATCTCAGCATTACAAACCATACTTGCCGGGAGAAAGGTATCTGGCTCCTCCTCACACCACTGTTTACCTCTACTGCTATTTTCTTCTCTAAAGGGGAGGTGCGGTTCAGTAGGACGACAGGGTGTGATAGATGAGTGGTGAAGCTCCCAGGAGACATTCCTTCCCCAGCTGTTCTTTGAGGAGCACTGGCTTGGCCCATTCTGCCTTCCCAGTCCCTGCAGAGCTCCTCCTGTCCAGGACAATGGCTGAAGTACCCGTATGCTGCATTTTCTGAGTGTGCCTAGGCTGTGGAGACCTTCTATGCCAGCCAGGACCCCGTGGGTTGCCTGAGAGGCTGAGCTGCCAGTTGGTAGGGGACAGCCATGTGGCAGAGTCCAGCCTGTGTTGTGCAGTGTGGAGTAGCGCTGTCATCTCCTTCACCTGGGCCCGTCCATGGCTCTGCATGTCTGGGTGCTTGTGGTCTGTCCCCCCTGAGCCAAGTCTGTGGAGGTGCAAGAACACCAGCCTGGTCCTGTGAGGCTTTGAAGGAAGGAGCAGGGAAAAGGGAGCACAGAGTGACGTGAGACCTTCCTGTCTTCTTTCTGCACAGGGTTTCTGCTCCTGGCTGACAGCCATCTTCAGGATAAAGTAAGTGCCCCAGGACCTGCATGGGAGACCCACATGGGGAAGAAGCAGAGGTAGTGCAGGGCATTGGGACACCCAGCGCAGTACAGCTGCGTGAAGTCACTGCAGCCCCTTCTCTGAAGAGCATAAGCTAAGTGTGTCCTCTGGAGAGGACAAGCAAAGACAGGACTAGATGAGGAGTCCTAAAGCCAAAACTAAGGTCACACAATGAGTCTGTGACAGAGAAGAGCACCCAGCCCAGGTCTACCCTGCCTCAGTGCCATCTTAGAAACACTGTCCAATGCTCTGCAGAGATGCTCTTCTCCCTGGGACTCCTGCTAGGGGCACTGCTGTCCAAGGAATGACTACGAAGGAGGGACTGGAGAATGCAGGGAGATACCTGCAGCCTGATGATGCTCAGGAGTAGTCTCCTAAGCACTTCTTGGCTTCAGAGTGCTGTGGGACAGTGTCAGCCATCCCGTATCTCAGCAGGGAAGGCAAGGCATGGCACATCAGAAGGGTATGAGGTGGGGTTTGCGTGTGTCCAGCTGCCTGTCCTGGGAGGCAGAGGGCAGGGGCATGGGGAGTGGGGCTGCAATAAGTATTGCACGGACAGGTTTCTGCCCAGGCTGGTTCGAGGCTGTGTGCTGGGCTCCCTACCCTGGAGCATGGCCACAGCTCTGTAGGGCGCTACCAGGGGTGCTGTGTGGGCTCAAACCAGGAGGGCAGCCCTGTGCGTTTCTCCGGTGCTTGAGGGAATGTGGAAGATTGCCTGACTGCCTTTCTCTCCCTGGCAGGGATGATGAGATCCGGGACAAGTGTGGGGGTGATGCGGTGCACTACCTGTCCTTCCAGAGGCATATCATCGGGCTACTGGTGGCCGTGGGTGTGCTCTCCGTGGGCATCGTGTTACCTGTCAACTTCTCAGGGGACCTGCTAGGTGAGAGCAGGCAACCTCTGGCTGGATTAGGGAAGCTGCTTTCAATGCCATGGCCCAGACCACCAGGGAGTAGTGAAGGGCAGGACAGGACTAACACAGACAAACCATGACTCCTGTCCAACTTTGAGCATGGGTCATCCTGGGCAGCTTGGGTTTTAGGGTGTTTTGCAGTTGAGATTCTTGCCATACCCCACTCCAGTGATGCTCTGTGCCCCTCAGTATAACTGAACATGCCTGTATCTGCTTCTTTCTCCCTAGAAAACAACGCCTACAGCTTTGGGAGGACAACTATTGCTAACCTGAATTCTGGGTATGTGTGGGCAGGGGTGGGATGGATAATTGAGGCCCTGAGGGGGTATTTTGTAAACGTCCACTTGCTGCAGAGCCTCACTTCCTTGAAGGCTCCATTTCTGCCCTCGCCGTGAGGCTACTGTCCCTGCTCCAATTTCCAGGCTGAGCTCCTGGAAGTTGGTTGTAGGGCATGTGGGTGCCGTGCCGGTTACGCTGCTCATGGCCACAGCACCTTCAGGGCCTGGCCGGTCATATACAGAGTTGTAGTGGCAACCTTGCGTTGGCCTTTGTGGTCTCCCTTGTGACAGGAATAACCTGCTGTGGCTGCACACGTCTTTTGCCTTCCTGTACCTGCTGCTGACGGTGTACAGCATGCGCCGGCACACCTCCAAGATGCGCTACAAAGAGGATGACTTGGTGAGCAGGACCTGGCCGCTCTCCCAGGCACATTTTCCCATGCCCTCCTGTCAAGTCAGGTGGCCTTGGAGAGGGTGCTGAGCACCCCACTTCCCACAGCAATTTGAGGCTCTCTTGTTTTGGCTGTTGTTCTGCCTGGCCAAAGGCAGATCTCCTCCAGAGCAGCAGTCCTGACTGCCTGTGGGGAAACGAGAGAGGCCTGTGGGGAAATGAGAGGCCTGTGCTGGGTGAACGTGGCGGGGGGGAGCCCCATGCCTTCCAGGGGTTGCTCCAGCTGCTTTTTCCTTCCTCATTTCTTAAGGGTACCCCCTGTTTCTGTTCAGGCAGCTGCAATGTAGGCCCCCCGTCTTCAATCTGCAGCGCACCAGGATGCCAACAGCTAGTGGAAGCATAGGAGAGGGGGAGCCCTGGGTGCTAGAAGTGTAGGGACTGCCCTTTTCCATTGTTGTCTCAAGCCTTTGGGGATTTTGCTGCAGTCTGGTCTTTCACATCATCCACACCTACCTGCCCTCTCCTTTTATTCTTCCTTCTGTCCAGGTTAAGCGAACTCTCTTCATCAATGGGATCTCAAAATATGCTGAGCCAGAGAAGATCAAGAAGCATTTTGAGTGAGTCTTGCTGTGTCTCTAAAGGCTGCTCTGTAATGGGGATGTTTTTATTGGGGTAGTGCTAGTGTTACCTGAAGCAGCAGTAATACATTGAGAGCAGAAAGCTAGTCGAAATCGGTGAACACTTATTTTAGGCATCTCAGTACTACTTTTCTGTGCAATTTTTTATCTAAATGTGCAGTGTCCTTGATTTGTGCCTTGGGTTATGCCCAGCTATCGCTTGTGGAGCCATAGGGGGTCAGCGTGGTAAGTAGTGGACAGAGCGTGTCCTGTGATGTAGTCAAGTTCAGAGATTGAGATGCAGGCAGGAGGTGCTCAAGCAGTGGCTGTGGGATGTTGTGCTGCTGCTTCTGCCCTGATCATGGTCCTTGTAGAAAAGTGGATTTTTCTTTTTAACATAAAAAAAAAAGTCCTCTTCCATCAGGACCTCAATGAACACACTGTCAGGGCCATGTTTAGAAGCACCATGGGGAAAGGAGAAATGTTTTGTACCCTTTGTACCCTTCTGCCTCTTTCTGACCCCAAGCCCTGTGGCCTGTGAAAGCAGAGAGGGGGTGTGGGGTCAGAGGGGTGCCTTGCTTGCCACAGGGCGAAGTCTGAAGAGGGTCCTTGTGCCAGAGCCTAGGGGATGTAGCGTTTGCCCCATGCGTTGCTCCTGCTATAAGGGACAGCCTGTAGGCTCCCCTGATGCCCCCAGCAAGCTCTTGCTGTGCATCATAACGCTCAGCCTGGGGCAGGACAGAAGTCCTGGACACGTGGGGTTTGCTTGAGGGTACAGTCTTTGGTGCTGGGTGTGATGAGCTGGTGCTTCCCGTCCACAGGGAGGCCTACGCCAACTGCACCGTCCTGGAGGCCCGTCCCTGCTATGATGTGGCCCGGCTGATGTTCCTCGATGCAGAGAGGTAACCCCTGGTTTGGGAGAGAGGGCAGGGTGGACCAATGCCACGGGCTTCCACTCAAGTCTGATGATATGGGAGCTTTTTCTGAGCCATTCTCTTTCCTTCCTTCCTTCTCTTCCCCTCTCCTGTTTCAGGAAGAAAGCTGAGCGCGGGCGAATCTACTTCACCAACCTGCAGAGCAAGGAGAACACACCGTCCATGATCAACCCCAAGCCCTGTGGCCACCTGTGCTGCTGTGTCATCAGGGGCTGTGAGGAGGTGGGGGGAGAGCTGGAGGTGTTCGGCAGAAGGGCGCAGAGGGCCTTGGGTCCCCAGGTCTCTGCTCTGACCCCTGTCCCCCCGCCCAGGTGGAGGCCATTGAGTACTACACCAAGCTGGAGGAGAAGCTCAAAGATGACTACAAGCGGGAGAAGGAGAAGGTGAACGAGAAGCCTCTGGGGATGGCCTTTGTCACCTTCCACAATGAGACCATCACAGCCATGTGAGTGCAAAGGATCCTGTCCTTCCCTGGAAGGTGACCTCTCGCAGCTCTCCCCTTAAATCAGAGGAATGCCAGCACTAAGGCATCCCCCCTTACTTGTCCCTGCCAGCCCTCTGTGTCAGCATCTCCCTCTCTCTCCTCTTCTCCAGAATCCTCAAAGACTTCAATGCTTGCAAGTGTCAGGGCTGTGCATGCCGTGGGGAGCCCAGGGCCTCCTCCTGCAGCGAGTCCCTCCACGTCTCCAACTGGACTGTCAGCTACGCCCCCGACCCACAGAACATCTACTGGTGAGCAGCTCTGTGGGGCTCAGCGGGCCCTGCCCATGGGAAAGGAGCGCATCCTCCCTGTCTCCCTCCCCATCTGCTCCTCTGGTAACTGAATGAGTTGTTCTTGCTGAAGCCCAGCCTGGCTGAGCTAGAGGTCTGACCTGACTTGGAGGGGGAAAGCCTTGGGCTGGTGCCCCACACACTGTTCACACAGCCTGGGCCATATTGTGAACGTGAGGCTCTGGACCTGCCCTTCTCCCCTATGCAACCATTCTGATGCCCTCCTTCCCTGCCAGGGAACATCTCTCTATCCGGGGCTTCATCTGGTGGATCCGCTGCCTGGTGATCAACGTGGTCCTCTTCATCCTCCTCTTCTTCCTCACCACCCCTGCTATCATCATCACCACTATGGACAAGTTCAATGTCACCAAGCCTGTGGAGTACCTCAATGTAAGGCCTTCAGAGAGGGGTGCAGGATGGGTAGCGTGGGAACTGTCCCGAGACACAACAGCCCCTGCAAGGGAGGGGGTAGCGAGAGAGATTGTCAGCGTTCCCCAGGTCCTGTCAGCCTGACCGGGAGGGAGGTGCTGAGCCTGGCCAGGGTGCAGTGGCAGCCGCGGTGCTGGGGACTCAGTGTCAGCAAAAGCAGCTGTACCTGTGGCTGGTGCAAGAGCTGCCGCACCGTGTAACACACAGTCTCTTCTCTGCCTCGTTACAGAACCCCATCATCACCCAGTTCTTCCCCACCCTGCTGCTGTGGTGCTTCTCTGCTCTGCTGCCCACCATCGTGTATTACTCTGCCTTCTTCGAAGCACACTGGACCAGGTAAGGACAGCCAGTGCCTGTTCTTAGTTATACCAGCGTGCTGCCTGGCCACTAGACACTTCTTACTGATGAAAAGCTCCTGGCTGGATCCTCCTGCTTGAACTCCTATCTTCCACTCCAAGCATGGTGTTACATTGCACTTCTTGGACACCTGGGGTCTGCTGTGGACAGCTGTTCTGCCAATCCTTAGCTGTGGTTGTGCAGCATGGTTGTCTGAGCAGGGCTTGAAGTAGGTCTACAAGAAGAAGAAAGCTGGGACGAGTCGGGGCTGGTAACTGTGAGAAAGGCTATTAGTGAGGGAAGTCTTGGCTCAGGTGAGCGGGCAGGGGTGGTGTGCCTGTACCCATGTATAAGTCATAGCTTTTCCAAGGGAAGATCGCCTTAGCTGCTATGGCTTCTGGCCATAGGGAAGGTATTTGAAGTGCAGAACACTAGAAATGTGCTGCTTGTGAGGCACGTTCCCAGCAGGATGTCCAATGTAATCTTTGTTTTCTGCTCTGTGTTGCAAGGACTGGTGGGGAGGATGTCACTAGCTCTGAGGATTGCAGGTGAAGAGAGATGATTGCTGAGAGTCCTCTAAAGACATGAGAGCTGGGAGAGCCTGTGAGACAAGGAGGGAGGAACTGAGATTTGGGGACAGACAGACAGACCTCAGACACACTGGAGGGAAAGGGGGCGTATTCATGTACCAGTAGTGGATAGGGTGGGATTTGGATTAGACACTGGGAAGCACTTTCTGATGAGAAGGTGATGGGGATGCCACTCCTGGGGCTGGCGGGCTGACAGTGAAAAGTCAACAGCCTCCTCTCTGCCCTCAGGTCTGGAGAGAACAGGACAACCATGCACAAGTGTTACACCTTCCTCATCTTCATGGTCTTGCTGCTGCCATCACTGGGCCTGAGCAGGTAGGGCTGGAGGCGGGGGGGAAGCAAGCACAGAGACCTGGAGCATGGGGAGGGTTGAGGTGCCTCCCTGGTTCTTCTCGTACGCTGCTTCCTTTCCCTGCTGCACAAGTGCCATGGCCACCATCCCCTTGGGGAGGTGGCATTTAGTTCTGGTTGGGGGCCAGGCCAGACCATACCCAGTTGGGTCCCTAGGAGCTTGTTGAATCAATCTGCAGGTGTGTTGACGTGTGCCTTGGTGTTACGAATAATGCAGCAAAAACTAGCATGGTTGGTGGACACATGTGAAAAGTCTGCTCAAGGTCTGTTGGTGAAGGAGGAACTCCCCACCTCTGTATTCAGTGTGTGCTCCGAATTTTGCATGAAACGAGCAAATTCCCCATTTAGGCCAGAACTGAGTAGGTTGCACTGCTTGGCTGGGTGGGATCACTATGTGTAGGCTGCAGAAATACCGATCCGTCTGGATGTGAGCCCCAAATCTTCCTGCAGGGGTTATAGAAATGCCCTGTGGCAAACAGCAGTGCATCAGCTGCCAGCCATCGGCATGGGCTCCCAGCACTGAACAGTGGCTAAGTAGGGAAACAGCATGAGGAAGGAAAAACTGGGAGGTGGGAGTGGGACGGGGGCTCCTTACTGTGGTAGGGAGTTACTTATGCGTTGTGGGGTGGGGAATCTACATCCCCCTAAATTCAGGATACAGCCCCTCAGTGGCAAGTTAGGCAGCTCCTGAGAATAGACGAGCCCTCTGATAGAGGCAGAAGGGTGAGTGACTACAGCAATGTTTCCCAGCCAGATTAAAAATGCCTTGTTGCTTATAACCTTACAACCTAGGCAGGTGAATGCTCTTGGAAGGTTTGCATTTTGACTGGATACCATTAAACAGACCGCACTTCCTTCTGAGGACGCAGTCCTGCTGCTGTTATGTGTGGAGCTCCGTACTCCACCAGTACCCAAGGTGCTGGAGGATTGCACAGTTTTATATCAAAAAATCAGAATCAAGGAAAATGGGATTTGTCTCTCCTAAAGGATTTTTTTAATCTCTGTGTTGTAGGGTACTTTTTACCTAACCAGTTTCTTCTGTAGTGTCAGTCACCTGTTCCTTGCATGGATGTTGTGCCCAAACAGAGGGGAGAGGGAAATACTTTACTGATAGAATCAGGGCAACGGGAGAAGACGACACACGAGAGTGGGGAGCTTTACATCCCTTTTTGGGTGCCGCACTGTTTTTCCCAGTGTCTGATTTACATAACTGCTGGTGACACATCCCAAGAGGGAACAAAAGTCTATGGTCAGAGCTTTGAGTCTTTCTAGAGCAGCTTCCACATACTTGCATGTGCATGTCTGTATATTGCTGCTTCTGACTGTTCCTCTTTTCTTCTTGCTCCCCTCCCCCACAGCTTGGATGTGTTTTTCCGCTGGTTGTTTGACAAAAAATTCCTCGCCGAAGCCGCCGTGCGATTTGAGTAAGTGGAGCTGGGCAGAAGGCCCTTCTTTGCAGTGGGGGCAGGTTCTTCTTGGTGTCCAAAGGTACTGGGGGCTCCCAGCTGCTGCCCTGCAAGGGGGGAGCACCTCCTGCAGCCTGCTCTCGCTGTGCCTCCCCAGGTGTGTGTTCCTGCCAGATAACGGGGCCTTCTTCGTCAACTATGTCATCGCCTCTGCCTTCATTGGGAACGCCATGGACCTGCTGCGTATCCCCGGCTTGCTCATGTACATGATACGCCTCTGCCTGGCCCGCTCGGCCGCCGAGCGGAGGAACGTCAAGCGAGTACGTAGTGGGGACAGGTCATGGCCTCCACCCAGGGCTGGGAGTGCTGCAATGGGGCCCCCATGCTCGGGGGCTCACCTGATGCTGGGTGTGTCGCACACCCCCACTGAGCTCCTGGGGTCATGCTGACCAGTCTCTGCTCCCTCTTGCAGCACCAGGCCTACGAGTTCCAGTTTGGGGCTGCTTATGCCTGGATGATGTGTGTCTTCACTGTGGTCATGACGTACAGCATCACTTGCCCCATCATCGTCCCCTTCGGTAAGTGATGCCCCTCTGCCTCCTTGCATCGGAGGCTGAGGGAGAACTCGGGGGGGAGGCCAGCAGGGTGGGGTGGGGGAGATATTCCCTGTACTGGGACAGAGGTTGATTCCCCTCTCTGCTGGCATCCCTCCCCTCAATCCCAGGGCTCATGTACATGCTGCTTAAGCACCTGGTGGACCGATACAACCTGTATTATGCTTACCTGCCTGCCAAGCTGGACAAGAAGATCCATTCAGGGGCTGTGAACCAGGTGGTGGCAGCCCCCATCCTCTGCCTCTTCTGGCTTCTCTTCTTCTCCACCATGCGCACAGGTGAGCGCTGGGCTGGGATGCCATCCCCTGGCCTCCTACAGAGCTGCTTCCTTGCCTGGGCTGTGGTCCTGGCAGCCCCTGGCCATGGGGCACGGTCAGGGTCCCTCTGACACCGCCACTTCGGTTTTTCTTTGCCCCAGGGTTCCTGGCTCCCACTTCCATGTTTACCTTCGTGGTCCTCGTGATCACCATTGTGATCTGCCTGTGTCACGTCTGCTTCGGGCACTTCAAATACCTCAGCGCTCACAACTACAAGGTGAGACGGAGTGCTGGGTGGGGGTACGGGACCTTTCTCCTTGGGAGCACTGCTCAGCCACAAAACAGCAGGGGCTCTAGGGGAGTCTCAGCCTGCTCCCCTGGCAGAGCCTCTCAACCCTGGCTTCATGGAGGGGACAGTCCCAAGGCTGTCGCTGCTGCCTGTATGCTGCTCCTGTGGTGGGACAGCAAATGTGTTGCCCCAGCAGTCTCTCAGTTTCTCCTTTCCTCTCCAGATTGACCATACAGAAGTGGACACCGTAGAAAACAGGCAGAACGGGAGACCTGCCACCAGTCTGCCGGCTCCCAAATCAGCTGTGAGTCCCTGTCCCCACCTCTGTGCCCTGGCGTGCTCCTTACCCGGGTTTGAGAAGGGGGAGGTAACTCCCTGTCCAAGTACCTCACTCTTCACCTCTCTGAGGCAGCAGAGTCCCCCAGTGAGGGTGGGAAGCAAGTGTTGGGCACTGTGCCTCTCACCTGAGCTGGGGGAAGTGTAACACCCCCACACACGCACAACCCTTTCCCACTGCTCCTCAGATGCTGTGCGTTTACTTTCTGCCTCTCTCTCAGCTGGGACAGTGAATCCAGCCGGGTCAGTCTCCCTTCTCGTTCTGCATCTTTGCACGCTTGCCTGTCAGCAAAGACTGTCACCCACCAGGCTGGTCCTAGTGCCAACGCAAAGGGGTCTCCGTGGGCATTGCCTTGAAGGCCATGAAAGTGCTTTGGGGACTCTCCCCTCCCCTGCCTAATTGAGATCCCAGAGTCAGTTTTCTGAACTTCTCCTTGGCTCACTGGCTCATTCCAGCTGCTTCCTTCCACCATGAGATTTTTGTAGTTGGGGTCTGTGCAGAGCTGTTCAGGGGGTACATGCAGAGATGTGGTAAAGCAGAGCCCCCTGCTTCCTCGGGAGAGCAGGGCTGGGGTGTGCACGGGTAATCCAGGCTCCTCCCCAGTCTCCATGTACCTAAGGGCAGTGGCATCTCTCCAAAAGGAGATTCCTCATAGGAGGCAGGCACAGCCTCAGAGGCACACATCCACTGGCAAAAAAGGGAGCACAGTCTTCCAGTCCACATGGGCTCCAAAGAGCTGAGAAGCCCCATGCTCTCCCAGCCCTGGCTTTCTGAGGGTGCTGCCTGTCCCAGGATGCTGGGGTTTGGCACATCCACTGTTGCAGGGCCAAGCCAGCCCTGCTTTTACCCCCTCTCTCAATACATCCCATGGAGACTAGACCCTTCCTTGCCCTCCCAGCGTATCCCCACACTCAACCTCTTGCATGGCACTTTGCGTGCTGTGCTCTGCTGCCATGAGAAGCTCCCCAGGCTCATGTGTGTTTCTGCTCTCCCCTCACCGCTCGCCTGCCCTGTGCGTGGCCTGGCAGAAGTACATCGCCCAAGTGCTGCAGGACTCCTCGCCGGAGGGCGAAGCAACAGAGTCGGAGGAGCAGGGGTCGCAGGATGAGGAGCTCATCAACGCGGATGGCATGAACGACACGGATTTCCAGTCGTGTGAGGACAGCCTGATAGAGAATGAGATCCACCAGTAGGGACCTTGGAGGGAGGGGAAGGAGGCCCAGGAGCGGGGCAGGCTGTGCGCACGGAGACCTAGGGAGAGGCACCCGAGGGTGCTGGCCACTGCCCTCACCCACCCACCCCCCGGGACCGCTGCCTTCAGTGAGGGCAGGGGTCCTGCCGCAAGCTCTCCATTTCCCTGCCCCTCCACCCCTGTGCCAGCCCGGCAGCTCAGCGGGCATGCTCTTTACTAGCTACCTTCTTTAAGGCATCCCCGGACCCCAGAACCCCAGGGGCTGGGGAGGAGGGGGACTGTGACCCCCGTGGTGCTGCTCTGGACCCGCAGGGAGGAGGAAGGCTGAGTGCTTTGTGGGGAGGGGCGCAGCAGGAACCTTTGGGAGCTCCTCAGCAGGTGCCTCTGTCCCCTGTCCTCCTGGCAAGAAACACTAATAATTTATTAGATTTACAGGAAGGTGACAAACAAAAAGCTTTAGTCAGTGTATTGGAAGTCCCCCCCTAGGGAGGGGGGTGGCTTTTGTTGCACCTTCTCCCTGTGCCCATGCGTGCCCTTTCTCAACCCCTTGCAGTATCCCTTTGGTGTGACGTGCCAGGAGCTGGGCCGGGCGCGGGGGGTGGTGACAGAGACCTCCCCCCCACGGGGAAGGTGACAGCCTGGCCTTGCCGTCAGGGGTGGCATCACCCCGGGGAAGGGGCGTGGGGTTGGCATGAGCTGGGCAGCCCCTCGCGGGGTGAGGGGTGCTGTGCTGAGGGCATTTCTCGTGGGCAGGAGGAGGCGCAGGCAGCCTCTCCCCCAGGTCCTGTCCCCTCCTCCCCCAGGGGCACAGGCAGGGGATTGCAGCATCATTTTAAGTGGCTTCCCCCCCATTTTACTCCCCTTTCAAACAAATCAACCCGACCCCCACGTGGTACCGCTGCTCCCTTTGCTGCCCTGTCTGCACAGCAGGGTCAGACCCGAGGGCAGGGAGGGGGCTGTGCTGGGGGTCTCCTGGGTGCTAGGGAGAGGGGAGAAAGGGTCCTGGACTGCAGGCCCTCAGCACCCTGTGGGGTCGGCGCTGCCTGTTGCCACAGGGCCTCATGGGCTGCCTTCCCTGAGCTGCCACAGGGTCTTCCCCCAGCTGAGGTAGTCAGAGAGGGAGGGAGCCCTGGGAGAGCAGCCCCTGGGAGCCTTCTCCAAGCAAGACCACTATCTTCAGGAGCACAAAAGCCTCGTGGGGCTGTGCTGGCTTTCTTCACCTGCCCTGACCGGGTGTGGGCTCCCCTGGCATCGCCTAGCCTGAGAGAGGGGGGCTGTTCCTCCCCTACCACTGCCCTTGCCCCCTCCCTGGTGATAGCCATGTCCCAGAGGCAGGCAGGGGACAGGATGGATGGGAGAGGTGGACTGGAGCCCCTGGCACCTGCAGGGAGGTCTGACCCTGTTTAAAGGCTCTTTGTGAGGAGGTTTCTGGTCAGGATCAGTTGCCCTCACTTGCTTCCCCCCTCCCCTTGTGTAAAATGTAAAGGAAAATAATAAATCTCCCTGCTATTGAGCTATATTTATTTCCCTCAACCCCCTGCCACCATCCTGTTTGGTGCTCATTGCGGATACTATCACCCTCCCTTTGCCTGTCATCTGTGGGTGCTGCACCAGCTCGCTGGGGCCATGCCCTCCAGGGTCTGACCGGGCAGGTGAAAGGGGACAGTCATTTACCTTTTCAATCACCCGTGCTGGCCCTGGAGCTCCAAGCACTTTAATAGACCTGAACAAGTGAAGCGTCAGCTCTGCTCTGGGGGAAGGGCGGTCATATCCCATGGCTTTTCTCCCCCTCAGCCCCCATTAGAGGAGGGGAGCCGGACACACAAGAGCAGATGAGGGAGCTGCTCTGGGGAAGACGTAGCTGACTTTCCTGTACGCCTCTCTATAGGAATCCCAGGCCCAGAGGAAAGGGGGGATGGAGGGGAAGAGATGTGGGTCTTCAATGCATGGGGAGGGCAGGCTACCCCAGCTCCCAGGGCTCGGCCGGGGCTGGAGCACACGCGGGTGCGGAGCGGCACAGTGAGTGTCACCCATCCCCTCCAGGGACGGGCTAGAAATGAAATGAGCATGCAATCTGAGAGCTCCCAGTCCGCTCCCAGGCTGGGGCAGGGAGGATGTTGATCCTGCTTCCCTATTCTTGCACCCACCTACCGCCCTTGCCCCCGGTCCAGCAGGCAGGCTGGGACGCTCCAGTCTCTGTAGGTACGGCCATGGCCCAGGGCTGCCTCTGCAGCTGTCAAGGCTCTGCCCGCGGAGAGCTATGTGTTCTGAGTGGCACTGTCTGTGTAGAGATGTGTATAATACCCTGTATATATTTGTGTAAAAAAGAAAAAAGGAAAAAAAGGAGCTATTGTTTTTGCAGTCTTTTCTTTGTGGAGCGGGTTGGGGGCTGGGACCTGGGAGGAGAGGACCCCAGCTGCAGCAGGGATGCAGGAGTATGTGTGGTGTAAAAGGAGGGGTGGGGGGTTGTGCGCTCCCCCTGTGTGAGCACAAGCCCTGCCCTGCTCCTGGGAACCCAGCTGTGGCTCACAGGCTCTCCCAGCCCAAGTGGACTCTCCCTCCAGCTTGCAGAGGCATCAAAGGCTTTGCTGCTAAAAGCGGGTGGCTGGGGAGCTGCGTGCACTGAGGCTGGGATGGGGGAAGATGCTTTGGCAATGGTGTGGGACAGGAGGGGAGTTTTGCCGATAGCCTCGGTGGCAGGTATCAGCCCAACCCTACGGTCCCAATAGCAATTTACATGGCCGTTCCTGCCATCTCCATCCAGGAACCAGTCTCCTAGTCTGGTCTGGGTGGGCAGCTAAAGCCTTTGGAAAAGGGTGAGGGGTGCTAGACCCCTGGAGCACAGCTTGGCTGGGAGTGCTTTCCTGCCGTATGGTGCTGTTTGTAGCTGAGCCATCCCCTAAGCACGGGGGCAGGCAGCAAGCAGCCAGCCCCCAGGACTGCTCCCTGCTGCTCTTTGGTGCATGCTGGAGCTGGGGCGGTTCCCAGGCAGCTGCTGCATGCTCACTGATTTGTGTACAGTGGCTGTTGTTCAGAGGACGGTGCAACAGAGAGGCGAGGTGTGGGGCAGGCCTCTGAAAGACGGACGAGTGACCCCAGGCTCCCAGCTCTGTTCCCACTTCGCTGTGTTCAGGCTCTGTGGCTTCATGTGCCAGTGGCGCAGTGTGAGCAGAGGACAAAAAGCTCTCCTTTCCCCTGGCAGCCCGCAGCCAAAGGACCGGGACGAGGCAACGCCTGCACACAGACAAAGAGAACCAAAGACCAGAAGAGGAACGGTGCCCGCTGCCAAGTCCCTGCAGGCATCGCTGCAAAGGGAAGCTTGAGGGAACAAGGAAATTGTGGAGGTATTTGTGCAGGTGTTTGACGGAAACTGCTCTCAAGCACAACAGCCTGCGCAACAGGATTACACAGGAGCTGTCTCCTACCGCAGGAGAGTCGGCTGTGAAAGCGGCTTTAAAGGCCACCAAGGGGTAATAAGGCAAGAGATGAACAGGAGAACGGCATCACAACAAGGATGGGCACTGTCTTGGGTGGATCTGAGTGGGCAGGGCGGGTCGGTGGTGGTCAAGGCCAGAGAAAAAGCTGGCAGAGCCGTTCAGGCACAAGCCCAAAGCAGGAACAAGCCCTGGCATTGCAGGTTTGCTTGCTCCTTGCCTGAAAGCATGCTGCTGCCTGCAGCTCGGTGCAGAGCTGGCTGGTGATGCCAGCAGGGACCCCCCCCTACCCTTCCAACCTGTGGGCAGTGATGCAGATGCCTTCTGGCTGAGGATAAGATGGAGCGGCCGCCGCGACAACCCAGAGCAGGGCACCCCAAAGCCTCCTCTGCGTCAGAGTGGGCAGAACAAGCTGCCTGTGGCGGGCTCTCCTAGGTGGGGATGGGGACAGGGCAGCTCCGGTGCATCCTGGCCAGGGCCGGAGCGTTCCGTTATGGGTGCAGCAGCAGGACCATGCTACAGCTGGTTTTGAATGTCCTGGTTGCCCTTCCCTCAGGCAAATGACACAGCTCCTGACCCCATGTGCAACCTGCTCCCTGCCTAGAAAGGATTTGCCTCCCTGGAGCAAGGTGGGGTGGGTTAGAAAGCAGATATTCTGTGAAGCCTGGGGGAGCAGCTGGATGCCAGCTCCTGCTGTGAGGCGGTACGGGCACAGCCTCCCCAGCTGCGACCAGGTACGTGGTGAGGAGAAGGAGCCCCGCTTGGTGACACCCTTTGGGATCACCATGTTCAGCCCTGAAGGCTGAAGGCACCAGAAGGATGGCAGTGCAGAGCTGCTTCTCCGGGGCTGGGGCAGGTGGGGCTGGGCCGAGCTGATCATGCCAGGCCAAGCTATGCTGTGCTGAGCCATGTTGGCCACACCAGGCTAAGCTGTGCCAGTCCATGCTGGGCCATGCCATGCCAGACAAAGCCATGTTGCACCACACGAGGCTGTGTGGTGCCGTGCCGAGCCCCGCTGTGGCCATGCCTGTTGGCAATGGCACCACCCAGCATAGCCGCACCCTGAGTCATGGAGGGCACGTGTGGGCAGCCCTGCTGCGGGAAGCCCCAGGGCAGTGCGACCTGCTTGGGATGGGCCCTGCCGGCACCCAGCAGCAAGGGGCAGCTGGTGGGGTGGGTGCCGGCCGTGACTGCCAGGGCTTGCAGGAGTGAAGTGGTGCGGGCACAGCCTCCCTAGGCATGTGGGAAGAAGGGACCCCACGGTGGGTGACGCCTGTCGGGACCACCGTGCTCAGCCCTGGCACCAGGTCAACAAGCCCTGGGGCGAGGCGCAGCACAGAGCTTCACCCAGCCAAGCTGGGGTGCCAGCAGCGTGGGGCAGTGCCATGTCACCCCCAAACCCTTTCCCAGGGGAAAGGTTTCCACGTGCACCGAGCCCCTTGCTCGGAGCAAAGGTGGAAGGAGCACACCCAGCCCAGCGGTACCCCTCCATCCCGGGGAGCTGGGAGAGGGTGACAGCAGACAGGACCGCACCAGCAGCCCCGGTAAATTCCTTCCCGGTAGCTGTGAGCGGTCGCTGCGCCTTTAATTCACC